CTAAACAAGAATTATTTTATATAATAAGCAACTAGTCTTTTATGGTATCATTCATTTGTGGATGGAATTGCTTTGCATTTTTCTTTTGTGGAATAGAACCGATATCGTTGTTAAAAAGTTGAAATCGAGTCAATCCCATGTCTGTCACTGTTTTTTTTGTAATAAACAAGACTATCAAATCTATCAGTTGAATTAAGAACTTAAAGAACGGAAATTTGCAAGAGAAAAAAAGCCTATAGCCATGACTTGTGATTACGTATGAGATTGTGGTGACTATCATATTAACCTAACAACGTTAATATTTATCAAAGTATTAATTGGTATCTCTAACAGAATACCGACATATTTCCTTATCTATATAAGTACCATATTATTTATCTACACAATTAATCCTTTAACTGTGGAATTCTTTTGAGAAAAAATTAAAATTTTTTCTATATACTTGATCATAAATGAATCTATATTTGAAGTTTATGAAAATTTATTATCAACAAGCGAATTTAGAAGTTTTTTATTGCTCAAATTATTAACACATTGACTGTCCGATGCATCATATGATATTTGAAACTAGAATTTGTTAGACGCAACTAACTGACTGCATTTGAACTATTGGAACGTATCGATACGATATAAGGAAGTATTCTAGATCTTGGTCGAATCACATATGATGCACTGAACATAATAAAGTCCTAAAAAACATAGCACTTTGCTTTTATTTGAGAAAAAAAGTGAATGCTCAATTTCAGATGTTTTTTATACAAAAAAGTGTTTCGATATAAAACAAAATAAAAGAAACACTTGATCTAAGAGAGACAGTTGGATCATATATGTTGCATGAAAAACAAAACATTGAAGATATGTTTAATACTTATTTTTGTGGTATATAAACGTAATACACTCCAAAAAATAATATATTTTAAAATTAAAAAGAAAATAAAAATTGAACGTAGAATAAGTACTATTTTTTCTCATGGGGATAGTCAACATGTCAATATTCACGTTTGTAGCATCAATGAATAATTCATTCAAGGAATGTTGACTCGTATTAATTTTTCTATACTAAGGCATTTCTAATTGAAAATTATGTCGATAGATTTTCACCAATCTTTAGCAGATTTTGTTTGGAGAAAGTAGGCTTTTAACTTTTTACCCCCTATAATGGTTCTAGAAGAGACACTAATAAAACAATTAGTGAAATGGAGTACTGTTATCTTTAGTAGGCCAATAGTATTAGCAAATTGACCAAGATTTCTTACATGTACGCACGGTGATTTGGCAACTCCAGTTGCCATTGAGGGGTAGCGACATGAAAACCACTCTTTTAGTTTTTTGAAAATAGTTTATTGGTTTTGCAAAAAATATCATATATTGTTGTATTTTAATAATACAAACAAGGAAAAATTAATGCATAAAAAATATTCTTCTTTTTCCTACGACGCATGAGCATCTGAAGCAAGTTTATATGCAGATAATCTCTAATCTTCTCGAAATAACTAAACTGATAAATAAAGAGCATAATTATTGATACGCTGTTCTTCAACTTCAAATATGATAAGATCTGAAAAAATTACGGTGTGAATATTGGTGTTAATCTGAGTGTGGTTTGAGTATGTTCTTGTCCAATTTCGACGCTTACACCCATCTACATCTGCTTCAAAGATTTATATAACAACAAATGATGCTTACTTTTATAAATAATGGCAGTCTGTTTACCTTTTTGTAAGTCTGACATCTTAGAAACAGAGCTATGATTAAAGATTCTTTTTTTTCCCAATCAATAGCTTAGGGAATTTCCTACAGAAAATATGCAAGAAGATTCTTAATATTTCAGATACTAAATTGTCTACGGTATTTCTAAAAATGGCAATTCCAATTGCCAATGGGAGGTAAAGAGTTAATCAAAACTAATAACATATTTGAAATCAATATAAAAAACTGAGTCGACTCATATATATTTTGGAGTTTATCGAGAAATTTTTTTTCTCGAAAAATTCAGCTGGATTTCCTTTAGAGACCAGTAAAAAAAAATGAATTTAATCAAAATACCATTTTTATTGTTTTAGTTATTTGTTCTATTGTGTCTCACTGATGTTTTATAGGTTCCGAATTATTTTCGACTGATGAAATGATTTTCTAATAAAATTCATTTGTTCAGTGAATCTCGAGGTAGATCTTCGTCGAATTTTTTCGATAAAAAATAGTTCGCTGAAAAATTTCGAAACACATGAGTCAACTCAGTGTTTTATGTTGATGCTAAATATGTTACTAGTTTCCACTAAACATCTACTTTTTTCAATCAAAATCTTTTAAAGACTGGTGAAAAATGTAAGAAAAAAAACATAATATCTAAACAAAACTCAAGTCATCTTTTTTCTCACAAAGGCCACTTCTAAAAGAATTGAAAAGCACCTGATTTTGCAGTCGTTTTCGCTTCCGTTCTTTTTTTTCATTGTTCTGATTAATCCAACAATCAAAAACTTCTTTCCTCAGTCGACTAAAGATTAGCATCGATTAATATTGGTTTTATAAGTCATCGTTTTACTACACAACTATCATTTATGTAATGCAGAGAGATTTTAGTTTTATTTTTTGTGTAATTAAAATGATTGTCAATTTAGAAATGTAATGTGTTCCATTGTTTTCTGAATAACGCTAGAAGGCAAATAGGGTAAGACCTGCGATTTTCACCAATCGATAGAAGACGATGGTGGACAGAAGCCTATAAAACAACCAAGAGCCTGTCATACTTTGAAGGTGATGGGTTTTCTAAATCTTTCAAAGATTCGACTATAAGATTATGACATTTCAATAGATTTTTAATTCTTATATCAGGAATATATAGGCTGGAGCATCTTCTGCTGGTCTGTCTAAGCCCGACTTTGATAGCTATTGTGATTCAAGGAAAAAAAAACATTTTTACTGAACTTCACTGATCGTCTTGTCTTCTACTTAGTATCCTTCATACATAACGACCACTAATGAGAGATTTATCGTAGTTAATTAACTCTATTTGTACTTGTATTCAGATTACTCAAACTAAAAGATAAGGTGATGAGTGAACTTCAGTAAAAATGATTTATCTCTTGAATTACAATAGTTATCAAAGTCGGGCTTAGATAGGCTAAGAGGAGATGCTCCAGCCTATATATTCATGGTATAAGAATTAAAAATCTATTGAAATATCATAATCTTATAATCGAATCTTTGAAATATTTAGAAAATGCATCACTTTTAAAGTATGACGAGCTCTTGGTTCTTTTATAAGTTTCTGTCCACCATCGTCTTCTATCAATTGGTGCAAACCGCAGATCTCTACCTATTTGTCTTCTTGAGTTATTCAAAAAACATTGAAGCACATTATATTTCTAGATGTATAATAGTGGCCATTATAGGCGGAAATCATATGTAGTACGGAAGGATGAGCAAGATATGTACTCATATTTTATGACATTCTGTGAATTATTCAGCAAAATGTTGAAATGGTGAATCTCAGTGAAGTTATTTTCAGACACTGTTCTGCACTTTTTTTTTCTCTCTCCAGTTTAATGCAAATTACACGATTTAATTCACAAATCCATTTACAGTTAGTACAATGTTTCTCTTTTATGAAAGTACAATCGAAAACATCTCGTACACATATGCAAGTTGTATGTTCTTCAACAACGATGTTAATGACTATTGAAAATGAATAACAATCAGCATCTTTCCAAGCAATTAATGCTAATTCTATTAGTTTCCCGCATGATTAGCTACTCAAAATTGAAACTTTTCAACTTATTACTTTAAAACTTTCGGAAAAAATTTGGTCGTTCACAAAAATGCATCGTTATGCGTTTGAAGGATATTACAATGCCCATAAAGGTGAAAAATGAGTAAGAGAAAGAGAGATGATTGATATTGTGCAAGAACAGAACAGGATCAATAGCGTGACGTATCTATATTACGAAGTCTACTCACGTTGTGAAAGAAAAAATATTTCTTTTGCACATATAAACATATCGCATTTGAATACAACTAGTCATTTCCTTTCAACGATGTATGCGTCATATTAGCCGATCAATGCGTATATTTAAATATTATCACTCGTTCTACTAGTCTTACTTTATAAGGTAAGTCAAGTCACATGAATAGACGATAGTAATGGCTTCTTTCTTCTTTGCTTACTTATTCTCACATAAGCAAGAATTAACAATTTTTTTTTGCAATCTGAATCCTGTACCTTTCGATTTCGTAGGCAAGTCTTATCTAGTACTATTTTCAAGAGTGAGATTGATTTTAAGAACTCTCTAATATTTGTACTGCAATACTAAGTGTCACTGAAATGCTAAAAATAATTGTTCAAAATGCTTGTGTCTCTGATAATCGTACTTCTCAACTAATCCTTCTTAATTTTTGTGTGTCAAATACATACCCTCGGATAAAAATATTTTCTGTTGTTTTCTTGAATATGTCATCACGATAATATTGTGTTTATAGAAAATTGATTAGATATTTCTATACTGCTCTCAGATTACCTAGTCATTTTTTTAATATGTGTCTTTATCATGAATGAAATATTTAAGAGAATAACTCAGACTTTTTCCTTTTCGTGGGGCATATATCGGAAAATGAACGCTCTCATTCAGGTCTCTTTCTTGAAAGGTCAAGAACCATTGATTATTTTCAACCGAATTCCATCAATTATTCCTCTGATAGATTCCTTTCTTCTGTCAATTTCTTTCCGAGCAGGACTGCTTAGTAAACTGTATGACAGAATATTTTGAGTTAAACATCTCTCGAAGCCCAACAGAACCCACCAATGCCGATGGCACGATGAGTGACCTGTACATTCACATTTTTTGTGTCGTGAAAATTTACAGTTTTTTTTCATTATTGCAAGATTTAAAGTTAGTTGTTTTCTTATTCAAATGACTATTTGACATTTCAATTGAACAACTATCGTAATGTTTTTACCATAGATTACAACATCTTCTATTATTCTAGAAAATTCATCGAAAATAATGAATAGAACTAATAACAAAGAGGACATTACTGTGATTTGGTGCGACTCAAAGATCGGTTCTAATGATTATGTAGAACAAATAAAGAAACAATTACGTCAAATCAATGATTTTGTTGTATTTCATACTCAGGTCGAATCTTGCATTAGTTTCATTCAATCGATTCATAATGAAATAGTCTTTTTCATCTCTTCAATTTATGATGCACCGCAAATATTGCCTCATATTGTAACTCTATCTCAAATTGATAGTATCTTTGTCTTCAACTGGGAAAAAGTTGATAATGAACATTTAGTTCTTGAACATTCAAAATTTATTGGTATCTACGATGAACTCGATTTATTGTGTTTATCAATTCAAGAGCAAGTAGATTTGCTCGATCGAGATTTACAAATATTCAGCTTCTTTGATCAAGATGAACGCTTGACAAAAGATCTATCAAAACAAACTGCTGATCTTCTTTGGTTTCAACTTTATCATGATGTTCTTTTTCAATTAACATATGATGAAGATGCTAAACAAGAAATGATCGATACATGTCGTTCCTATTATCGAGACAATATCAAAGAATTGGAAGTGCTTAAGAAATTTGAAAATGAATATCGTTCAGAAGAAGCACTTCAATGGTATCTGAAGAAATCATTTCTCTACAAAAACATCAACAAAGCATTGAGAACAAAAGATATCGATCAACTCTTCACATTTCGATATTTTATGAAAGATCTGACAGAAAGTCTCGTTCGAAAACATAAAAAGATGGTCGAATCTGATAAAGAAACACTATTCATGTATCGAGGAATGAAATTGACAAGTGATCAAATCAAGAAATTCAAAGAGAACGAAGGTAAACTAGTTTCAAACAATGGATTTTTCACAGCAAATATTCTTCGTTCAACTGCATTGAACCAAGCAATGAAACCTTCGAAACAAAGTGATCTTATTTCTGTTCTCCTAGTAATCGAATGCGATCTACAATATATGAACAACAGTGTCATTGTTGCTAACATCATGCAATTTAACGGAATTCCATATGAAGAACAAGAAGAAATTATCTTCGATTTAAATGTCACGTTTCTATTGACAAGTGTGAGAATGGAAGAGAAAATGTGTTTGATTGAAATTAGTGCATCAAATGAAGGTCAACTTATCAAAGAAAAATATATCGAAGACTCACATCGTCAAATGGAAGATTTATGTATCAAAATTCTCTTTGGACGATTGATGTGTGATATGGGTCAATGGAATCAATCACAACACTTCTTTCAACATTTATTGAACAACTCGAATACCAACAATGAAGATCTCGCAAAGATTGAATATAGTCTTGGTGAGGTTCTTCAATGGAAAGGAGAATGGAGTGAAGCACGGAAATATTATGATCGTGCTTATGAACGGATGACGAATATCAAACCAACACAAATCAAGAATTCAGCTAATATACTCTTCAATATTGGTGAGATTCTTTATCTAGAAGGAAAGTACGAAGAAGCTCAGAATTATTATGAGCGAGCATTGGCAATACGAAAACAAAATTATTCCTCTACCAAGAATGATAGGCCTTGTCCACCGAATTATCAACTTAATAGTGTGCTGATTCATATTCGAGCATCACTCTGGCCAGTTTCATTGAATTCAAGTGGATTCTCTCAATCGAATTCTCGATGGTATTGTACGATAAAGTTCCGACGAATTTTTCGATGGTATTGCACTACAAAATTTCGACGAATTTCGTTTCGATTTCCATTGAAGTATACCGCCGGCAAAATGGGACTCATCGGTAAACCGTTGAAAGAAAGATGTTTGATGAACATATGTCGAAACATACAGAAAAGTGGCTCGTTGCAAACGAACCAGATTAATTCAGGTGGCGATGTCCTGATTGCTACTAATCTTCGTAGCTTTGGCAAAATCCTCTTTCGGCAAGCCAAGTATGATGAAGCACTTATCTTTCATCAACAAGCTCTAGCGATGCTCAAAGAATACTATCAATCGCCTCATATCGATATCGCTGTTAGTCTTGGCTACATTGGTCAGGTTCTTACGTATCAAGGAAAGTATGATAAAGCTCTCGATTTCTGTCAACAAGCAATGTCAATCTATCCAAGATATTATCCAGATGGTCATATATACATTGCCTCCACCCTCAACTACATCGGTTACATTCTCTTTCATAAAGACAAGCATGATGAAGCTCTGAAGATTTATGAACGAGCATTGACAATGCTACAAAAGTATTATCCATCTGGTCATATCGATATAGCTTATAGTTTTTGTGGGATAGGAAATGTTCACTGTAGACAAGGCAAATATGATGAAGCTCTGATATTTCACGAAAAAATGCTGAAAATTGCACAGAAATATTATTTTCTTGGTCATGACGACATTATTTGTACTCTAAACAGCATTGGCTATATACAAAAGAAACGAGGAAAGTATGATGAAGCTCTTGATTTTCATCAACGAGCACTAGCACTTCAAGAGAAATATTATCCATCTTATTATGCTAAAATTGCCAACACTCTCAATCTTATCTCTGATGTACTACTTTATCAATCAAAATATAATGAAGCTTTATGCCATTGTCAACGAGCGCTAACCATGCAGAAGAGCTATTACCCTTCAGGTAGTGTCTCAATGGCCTTTAGCCTCAGTAGTATGACTAACATCTTACATAAGCAAGAAAAATACAATGAAGCTGTTAATTTGGATCGACGAGCACTAGCAACTATCGAAAAACATAATCCATCTGATCGTTCTTCCATTGTTTCTTATATGAATAATATCGGAGTTACATTACGCAAGCAAGAAAAGTATGATGAAGCTCTTGATTACCATCGAAGAGCACTCGAAATGCAAGAAAAATATTATCCATCTTGTCAGCATGAGATAGCTAATACTCTCAATTACATCGGTAATCTTCTCATTAGACAGAAAAAATTCAATGAAGCCTTGAAGTTTTATGAATGTGCACTTGAAGTGCAAGAGAAGTATTATTCAAATGGTCATGTGGACATTGCGACAACCCTCAATAATATTGGTACAACATTTCATCGACAAGAAAAATTTGATAAAGCAATTGAATATCATCAGAAAGCATTAGAAATTCAAGAGAAATATTATCCATCAGGTAGTGTCTTCATAGCTGATACTATCAATCATATCGGTCATGTTCTGTACGATGAAGAAAAGTATGATATAGCAATTGACTATTATCGACGGGCACTTTCAATACAGGAGAACTTCTATCCTGATGATAACATCGAAATTTCCCATAGTTTCAGCTTTATTGGTAACACTCTATATAAACAAAAGAAGTACGATGAAGCTCTTCAGCTTTATCAAAAAGCCTTGGCTATTCAAGAAAAACATCATGAATTTTCTCATGATGATATCGCGAAGAGCCTGAACTTTATTGGTAATGTCCTATATAGACAAGAGAAATATGATGAAGCTATTGAATTCTATCAACGATCATTAGTTATTCGAGAGAAATGCCATGCATTTGGCTATGCTGACATCGCTATCATACTTAGCAATATTGGAAAAGCTCTGCATTGGCAAAGAAAGTATGATGACGCTGTCAACTTCTATCAACGAGCGCTGAAAATCTACGAAAAATGTTGCCCATCGAATTCTATTGATATTGCTAATGGTCTTATCAATATTGCTGATGACCTGAGAAAACAAGGAAAGTACGTAGAAGCTATTGAGTTTCAACAGAAAGCATTGGCAATTCGAGAAGAAAATTATTCCTCTTGTCATGAGAAAATTGCGGATAGCTTGAATCGCATCGGTCACACTCGAATGGATCAAAGAGAATACAATCTAGCACTTGATTGTTATCAACGAGCTTTAACAATCTTAGAAAACTGCTATCCATCTGGTCATGTTGATATTGCTGGAAGTTTGCGATATATCAGTATCGCTCTTAGTCTACAAGGAAAATATGATGAAGCCCTCGATTTCTGTCGACGAGCACTGACAATTTATGAGCAATATTATCCATCCGGTCATGAAAAGCTTGCTATTTGTTTGCGTTCGATTGGTAATATACTAAGTAATCAAGAAAAATATGATGAAGCTCTCGATTTTTATTATCGAGCACTGACATTTTACGAGAAGAATTCATTCAATCATTCAAATTACACTACTTGTTTAAATAACATCGCTCAAACTTTGAAAAAGCAAAGAAAATATGATGAGGCTCTCCACTTTCAACGTCAAGCGTTGGCCGTTCTTAGAAGTAACTCACCTAGAGATCAATTCAGAATTGTTACCAATCTTAAGAACATCGGTAGTATTCTGTTTGAGCAAACAAAATATGATGAATCTCTCGACTTTTATCAACAAGCATTGATCATATTCGAAGAATATTATCCTGATGATCTTATTGAAATTGCTCATTGCCTATTCTGGATTGCTGCTAACTTTAATAGAAAGTCTCAGTTTGATCTTGCTATTGAATATTTGGAAAGGTGTTTATTAATTAAAGAAACTAGCCTACCTTCACAAGATCTATCCATCACTAACATACTTGATTGGTTGTCACAAGTACAAAGAACAAGAGGCGAGTACGAACTTTCTCTTATATATCAACAGAATTGTTTCTTAAAGCGTCTCCAAGTTTTACCACCAGATCATGAGAACATTGGCCATAGTTTATTGAAGATAGGTGAGATTTATGAAAACCTTCATAAATCTATATTGGCACTTCATTATTATCAACAAGCGTTGGCTATCTATAGGAAATGTCTGCCCTCCGGACATGAAATTCTATGGAAGATGAAATTGAATATTGAACGACTTTCGGAACAATTTGAAATGGAAGTCAATTAGTCAGATTGACTTTTCAAATGTACTTGTTTTCGATTAAAGATCATTATTATCAGAATAAAGTATTGATAGAAATATCCTGACGAGAATATGTCGGATTATTGCGTGTACTTATTTTCTAACAAAAAATAAAGTCTTTTAAAACCAAGGGAGAAACAACTGATTTAGATCAGCCGAAAATCAAAATTAGATTAAATAAATCATCTTAGATCATTTAAATCATCTTGGATCATCTTATATCATTTTAAATCATTTTAAACCATTTTAACTCAGCAAAAAAATCATTCCAGGATCAATGATTCTAATTCATACATGGCTTTTTACAATCGCAAGAATAGAATCAAATTTAATGGGTGTGGGTGTTGGTATGAGTGTAGGTGTGAGGTGTGGGTGTGGATGAGTGTGCTTGTAGCTGTGGCTGTGAAGAAGCCCCACACCCCAAGATATCTATAATCTTTTTTTAGCTGTGATGTCATTCGTCGATCTTTGAATATTACTTATTAATCTCTAGCATCTATCTTCGCGTCTATCTCCTTTGATCTCTTCGGTTTTTATTTAAAATGTCCTCTATTTATTTTAGCAGCCGGATTGTTTTTTTTCCTAGTCTCTTTACAACCCATCACGTTCTCAACGTGCACCGGAGCTAAAATTTTCCTTGAAAAGAAAAAACTTTGTCTTTTCACTTACTTGAAAAACCCCGCCTTTTTATAGTTCCACATAGATACTCACGCATTTTGCTTGATCCGAATTCATTTTCGTTCACGTATAAAATAGAAAGCAGATTGAAGAGTTCAAATAAAAAATAAAATACTGCGCAATATGTTGTCGAGCAGCGCTAATAAGGAATTCGCTTTCTTTCCTCTTCAATTTCCATTTTCTTCGTATCACATGACATGAGTAAAAAAACGAGAGCTTAGCAACTAATACGAGGCAGCTATCAGCGATTACACAGCTTTCGCTTAATCGTCTTCTTTTTTCAATTATATATTTCTGTTTTTTTTAAAGACTGTTATCTATGATACACTTTCAAAAAAAAAAGGTATTTATTCAGACTTTTCTTCGTCTCTCGATCTGAAAAAAGTTTCGTACCAAATGTTTCTCCCTATGTGTAATACACACATTTTTTGGAGTTTTCTTTTTATCACAATATACTCTTTAGTAGACGACGTCTAGATCACATCTCAGAGAGAGCTCACAAAAGCGTATTTACATTCACAGTGTAGATTTCGCAAATATTAAATGTAATTACATAAGATAAAATATATGCATTTACAGAAAGAAATTGAAGATAAGTATTTGTTCAAACTACAAAACAACATCTACTTATAATGAGTTTTGTATCATCCAGCGTTCGAGAGAGAAAGAGCGACTTAGTCGTTGCTACGTTATCTTCTTTATATAAATGTGTCTTTCCATTCATTCGAAGACATTCATGCGACAACAACTCCTACTCTGTTGGGCGAGCGTTCTCGCTCTGATGGTGCTTCCATCGGAATCTGTACTGAGTTCTGGCTGTGGAAAACCTCTGCCAAGTGATTTTTCTGCGGGTCAAACGACATCAATAAGGGTTCCCGCGGCAAATGGTCAACCCGTTCGTCACTACAAGGTGCACCTCTCAGCCAACTTTCAAAACAATCGAGGACACGCTATTGTCTTCTCCTTTCATGGTCACAATGGAGATATGGACAAACAAGAAGATCTATCTCAATTATCTCAAAAAGGTCTACTTATCAGCGGTGCGGGAATCATCGCTGTCTATCCTAAGGGAAAGCTGGGGACGGACGGACAGACTGCTTGGCAAGGTGCACCATATTCTGCTCCCGGTGTAGATGATGTGAGTCCTTTTCGATCCTCTTCCACTTCTATTCAGAAAGAGTTAGCAATATAGATTGCTTTTGTGAACACAATGATCTTCACACTCCAAAGTATATTCTGTGTCGATTCGTCTCGAATCTATGCAACTGGCAAGAGTAATGGTATGCTGTAGTTTTTACTATTTATTTGAAGATCAGATTCTTTATCCAAGTGTAACGAATATACATTCCCTTGTCACTTCGTCGTGGCTATACAAATGGATTTTAAAAAGAAACACTCAGCTCTTTCCGGTCTATACTTCTTTGGTTACTGAATATTCAGTAAAGTTAGTGTGTCAATCCGTAGAGTTTCTACTAGCAGCATGAAACATTTTTTAGATATGTTGTGGAACTCTCCCCAGAACAAACAAAAGAGAGCGTTAAGTTCATCTGTCGATTGTTTTGAAGACACCCTCTATCGGACGGATTTTGTATTGCATGCCTACTATCCCTATGAACGAGAGAGAGAGCGAGTTTCACCTTTATTCTATGACGACTATGCTGATGTGTTTTTTATAACTATCTAAAAAGATGAAAATTTATTCTGATTATGCAAATGAGCGACCATGTTGGATGTAGCTGTCTTCTATAACGAGTCCGAATAAGTTAAGGCGGATTAGCTCTGGTCCTCTCCTGTTTTTTTTGAACAAAAGTTCACGGAACTCTGCCGCAGGTTAGAAAGATTCTTTATAGTGACTTTCAGTATTTGACATTAATCACAGGGGTTGGAAAATCATGGAACGAAAAAGCTAAAACTCGCTTCTATCATGTAGCCTGCAGATCCAATCCACTCATGAATACACCTGATTCCTCATAGAAGAGAGCTATACCTGGTTTGGTCATTAATTCTCATACTCTGATTAAAATTCGACATTTTTCTACATAGGTACAGAAATATTTCAAAACTTTCACTCGAAGTAGTAGACGCTCTATGGATTCACCCATTGCGAAAGTTATCGTTCTCTTAATGAATAGTTTTCAAATTCATTATCTAAGCGAACCCATAACTGAAATATACATGACGACTGATGAATGAAGGTCTTCTCGGCATTAAGAAGAAAAAACTCGGAAGTTTCAGCTGAACAGAAGAAAAAAAGATTCTTGGAATTGATATTTGAACTTCGTTTCTAAAGAATCATGATTTTTAACAAAAAACCAGCTTTGTGGTCGGATACATAAAATGTTTTTCTCTTCTGTCATAAACACATTCTCTGTAAGTTATTCCTTCTTTGCACAAACGAAATTTTGTTCTCAAACTTGATCCTTGCTTATTGAAAGAAAGAAAACTCTACTGTATGCGCCAAAACAATTTATGGCCCTAGTCAACAAAAGTCAGTTTTCTATAAGACTTTTCTTCGGTATCTTCAAGTAAAAACAGCCATTATAAAAGTCCTTATCATTCTTTTTCTAAACACTCCCTGTCGTAGTGATAAGCCGAATTCAACCGTACAGTCCAAACGAGCTCGAAATCTCGAGTTTTTCCTAGAAATTCTTCCAAGATTTGCAAAATATATGAAAGCTGGATAATGTTTTTCGGAATTGTCTAGGTGCAGGATTCGTCAACCTTCTAGCTTGTACACCATGGATAGCTGCAAAGTTTGCCGCCTTTGCAACTGTCTCAGCAGCTTTCTATACGACTACATTCAACGGAGATTGTCCCACTCAACGTGCCATACCCATTCTCGACTTTCACGGTACTGCAGACAGTGTGGCGGCATATAATGGTGGACAAGCACACGGTGCGCTGCAGGTCAGTATTAACAGTTTTCGACAAGGATGGGCATCACGCAATGGATGTCAGGGCAACGCGACAATCTCTCATCTATCGAAAGGAACAGACCCTCAACAACTGGTTGAAATTCAAACGTGGAACACGAACTGTAAAGCAGGTGGTACTGTTATAGGATACAAGATCACTGAAGGGCAACATGGATGGCCTCGTACAACATTACCAGCAAAGTGCAATGGAAAGGTGGGAACGAATGATTGTACCACTACTGTGTTTGATGCTACATCAAGTGTTATCATCCCTTTTTTCAATAAGTACAGATTATAGTTTAACAAGGAGTGAGAATGAGTGTATTAATGAAATTAAAAAGTTTAAAAATCATAAATCATAACACTTGTCTACGAAAGTATAATGAACATGCTCTAATAAGTATGAAACACTCACTAAGCAAAGATCATGAAATTAGAGCAAGGATTGCATCTATATCTTCCAATATCCGATCGGCTATTCATGAGAGTTAGCGCTTCTTTCTATCGGTTATCGAATCTAGAAATATAAATAAAAAAAAACAGCAAGGTGGTAGTATTATTGATCATATCCTTGTAATTTAATTTCATAAACAGACAAAGATACATGCCACTACTGTCTTTTTACTTCTTGTATTATATTTTATAACGTTCATCGTTTAACTGAAGAGCTTTTGACCGTTGCTCAGTGGTGAATAGGTGATAAATGGAATAAAAACTATGTGGTAAAAATTGACATAATTTGCGCATTTCTAATTGAAAGAGTTCTTTCCTAATTTCTCATTGTGTTCCTGGTATGGTTTCCTCGACTGAAGGAACGTTCATATGAAAAGAATATAATAGTTTGTGTGTATGTGTCAGGATCAAAGGTCAAAAGTAAAAAACCATTGGGTGTTCTGCTGTCGAATAAAACGTAAAATCCTCAAAATGTTCTGCGACAAACTGACGAAACCATGTACGACTGCCTATTAAAAGATAGTTCAATCTAATATAAAATGTGTCACATTCCAATAATTTATCGTAAAACCTTACTAAATGTGTAGTGACAGATCGTGTGTTTGAAGAGGAGTTCAATCTTACGAGGGAACATTCTCAAGTGTCACATCGCTTTTGAGTCGAGCGTATGTGCATCATGTAGATCCTAATGATCTATGAATACTCTGTAAAAAGTTCGTGCTGCCAGCTTATTACTGCCGAGATATTGCATTTTTACTGTATGCATAAGCAAAAAGCCGTAGTCCTCCTCAGGACCGCTAGGAAAACTGAGTTTCGAATTTGAACTTGAAACTCTGTACAAGAACAGGTCTCAATAAGAATAGTTTATTGTAAAAGTTTCAGATCTTTTGATTGCTCCTAGTCTGAAATAAGAAAATCGGAATCTGCTGATGTATATAAGCTATTTTACCATAGCTGTATCTTAGGATAGGAACAACGAAAAGATCTGAAACTTTCACAATAAACTATTCTCACTGAGGCCTATCTCTATGCAAAGTTTCAAATCGAAGTTCGAAACTTGGGTTTTCTAGTGTTCCTGAGGGGGACCACAGCTTTTTTTCTTAAACATACAATAAAAAAACAATATCTCGGCAGTAATAAGCTAGCAGCACGAACTTTCTTCAGAGTATTCGTAGATCATTAGGGTCTACATGATGCACATACGCTCGACTCAAAAGCGATGTGACACTTGGGAATGTTTCCTCGTCAGTTAATGTACGAATTGTTGGTTGTTCATCATTAATGCATTTATATATATAACAACCTCACGAGATGATAGAAAATGATTGATCTGAACAGGCAGAACTGATGTAACAAAACATGTAGTAACTCCTTGAAATAAAAAATAAATAAATTTTATTTAATTCAAAAGAAATGTATTAAAAGAAAAACAACATAAAAAATGGCAGCATACCTTACATGTGAGTGCGCATGTGTATTCGTCAACTCTGTACACATACTGAACATGTGAGAGAGAGAAAAAGAAAAAAGAAATAGGCCAAGAGAGCAATATTTCTTTTTTGGGGTCGGTGTGGGGTGTGGGTGGGTGTGGGAGTCATTTTTCTTTTTACTTACACCGAGAGCCACATCCGCACCCACACTACACCCCACACCTCATACCCCACTCATCCACATCCTTTTATCGAGACCCCAAGGGATATCAACCGAAATCGCATAAATAAGGTACTTCTAAAAATCTTGAATTTTATAAAAGTATTGTTCACGGCAGAAGGCAGAATTCGCGATTCTTTCTCAACTCTGTCGAAATGGAACTCTTGTTACCTAGCGACCTGTTTAGCTGATCCTGAAAGCATATTATTTATATTGAATAAGTGGGGTTCGCCAACGTTAACAACTTTTTACGACGAAATACGATAATAAATAATGATCCTGTATCAGACAAGTTCCAGTAGACCGAGACGGTACCTTACGATATTATCTGACGAGAGTATACAGCCGCCGTATTGTTACGGAAGTCGTTCACGGCGACTTGTTTTGGTCATTGTTTACGATGGCCGTTAAGCATGGTTTACGATCGCTGTGAGCGACTACCGTATATAACTTATGTACACGATGTTTTACGACATCTTATCTCCTCGACGTATACAGCCGCTGTGTTGCTACGCTAGTCGTTGACGGGGACATTTTACGGTCGTTGTTTACAATGGTCGTAATATGTCGTAAAGCGTTATTTACGACTGTTGTAAATGGCTACCGCGAACACTTGACGTATTCGATGTCTGGCGGTGTTTTTCGAACAAAGTATACAGTCGTCGTTATCCGCCATGATTGGTAAGTGTACGACCGACCATGATTGATCTGGGTTGCAGTGACAATAAATGTATCTGACTGAGCAGATGTGCAAGAAGAAGAATCTAAATGTATAACTCATACACTATGTTACATGAATATGATTTTATCTATATAAGTCTTTGGCTTTTTCTAGTATACAGAGCAAATATTCGAACAATCACTTCATCAATAATCGGAATAAACTAAATATTAACACTGTAAATTTCAATTACCTTTTCTTCATAGAAGATATTAATCGAAAATAACTCTAACAATCACTTTATGGGGGAAATATTTGCACGATATTCAATCACACAAAATCATTATAAATCACCAAAAATCATTTAAATCATTTTAGATCACAAAATCACAGATCGCTGTTTCCTCCTTGTTTAAAATGCATCATTCATTCACTAATCATCTAATTATTATCGGAGTTTTAAAAGAAAGTTATCAAGCCAAATGCTTATAATTTTTTATCGAAGATAGCTAGAGTCCTGTGGTTTTCACCGACCGAAAGAAGAGATGTATAGGAAGCTGCAAGTCCTTTGAGACCTGGATTCGACCCAAACGCGGATTCAGCCTGGTTCGGTTCCAAAGTTTTATTTTTTTTCGGATCCGGGTTCAACCTTTTATCTTTTGCTGGGCTCGATTACACTGTTTTACGGACACCTGCTGTCCAGGTGAGAAATACAGCAACACGATATAACTGTACGTTGAGATTTTTTCTGAGTGTAGCAAATAAATAGCTGAAATCTTGATCCTTCACTTGTTCATGTACACGAAGGATGCTAGGTATCAATGGAAAAAATTTCGAGTTTGGATCCGCTTGGGCTCGGATCGGGACCCAACGGGATCTGGATTGGATCCACACGCAAATTTTTAATTTTTTTTTGGGTCCAGATCGGCTCCGGATTGAAACCTTAAACTTTGTTCGGGTTCAGGTCTGGATCTGGGATTCAACATGTTCTATTAGATTCCAGGAAACTGTTTTTACTGCAAAGAGATGGACAAGAGGTTCACAATGGGCATAATGGACATAATTCCGAATCAAACTAGTTTCTAGAAAAGGAAACCGATTGATTTACGCATATTCTAAATACATAAAGGCACTGAACATTATTTATGCCTGTTTTCACCATCACCCGCAGTAGCAAAGATGTCGTGTGTGTTGATATCCGGAAAGTCATATATAGTTTCTTGGAAACTAATATAGCGCATCATATGGGGTCCAGATCCAAAAAAAATGTGGGTCCGCAGTTCCCTAAAGACATGGGGATATCTTTTTCTCCAATATTGTATAAGACGAAATCATTTTAAAATCAGTTATTTCTGTAAAACATTCCAAATAATGAATAAAAAATGGTTTGTCATTCAGATGAAGTTTTGACGAAAGGTTAAGATATTTGCTTAAAAATTAAAAGAAATTCATAGTTTTCGTGGAAGTAAATAGACGATTTTATTTGCTCAACATCAGAATGTGAGAAGATAATGATCCGAATTATATCTTGAACTATAGATCTGAAATTCCTCTCTCTAGATCACATGTCAAAACCAAAATTTCATCAGTATAACAGATCGTTTTCATGCATTTTTTGTAATGTTTTGTAGAAATGATTGATTCTACAGTGATTTCATTTTTATACAATATTGAAGAAAAAGACATCCCCATGTCTTTTCTTTCGATTGGTGAAAATTGCATGGCCCTAGCTATCTTCGTTAAAAAGTTATAAGCATTTTGCTCGATTACAGGGATGCCACCTGGTCAAGTCAAAAAAGCGGAAAGCTCAGTCAGAAAAGCGAAAAAATGCGGAAAGAGAAAGTACAAAAAATGGGAAAATTGCGGAAAGCTGTTTTTTGTGAGACTTTGACATTGCTATGGGTTTAAATAACTTTTTGCTTCTTTCTGTGATACTTCTTCATTCTCAAAGTTCCAAAGCACAATGAGAAATACATAAGGAAGATGATATTTTATTAAGCACAGGATTTTTTCAAATCAGTTACATGTGCCGTTCCAATGGTTTTCGCTTAGAAACTCCTTTTGAAATCATGAAAGTATATGCGTGTTCGTGTGACAATAAAGTATTTCAATGAATCTGCATTTGTGCAACGATTGAATCGACTGACATTCGATTGCCGTAATTATCGGATATATGTATTGGTTCCGAAAAAACAATTACGGTAGTAGCACTGCTTTCCGAAATAGAACACGAAAAGCATCATTTAGAAAATAATAGATTGTAAATGACAGATAACTAGAGATCTGCATCCGAGTTAATTTCGAAGTCGTTTCGGAGTCAAATAAATTTCTTGCCAATAATTCATTTGAACATCAGAAACTTTATGCGTTTCAGGCTTTGCTCTTTGGTCGATTTCCCACAATCGGATATATCTTGGAGGCCTAATCAACGTCACATTGAAGTGTACCGACACGAAGAGGAAATCGGAATGGAAAAACTCGGAGTCAAAGTTGATTCCGACTTTCTCTTCGTGTTCATAGGCCTCAATGTGATG